CTTTCTCTCTCCACCTCTCTCTCTTTTGCTTTCTTTGGATTAATAAAAAATGATTGGCCCAGCAATTGAAACTAAGAAAAAAATAAAAATAACCACGTTTTTTTTATCGAAGTCATCCTGAAATATCTAATATTTCATTATGCACATCAGTCGAGAGGGTATTGAGTGAATGAGGAGCGCTACCCCGTCGCCCAGGGCGTCTTGCAGCCCATCGCGGGGGGTATCGTCGGGGCAGTGGTGCTGTACCGGGGTTCGGCTGGGCCGAACTGATCGCGTGGAACACAAGTTGAACACTGCGGTGCGAACACAGTCGGCTGATGGCACTTCTAAAGTAAGAGTTAACGATTTACAAGGATCACAATGTTGCCAAACCCCTAAGCTCGTTCTTTACCCGACATGCTGAGAGGGCAGACTCTTTAAAAAGTGGGCGCAGCACGCCAGTGCGAACCGAAGAGGCGAATGATAATAACAGGGAAATGTCAGGGCAGGGTTGGTTTTCGAAAGCCTAGGCCTAGGCTTTGAACCGGCAGTGTGATGGCTGGTTTTTCGCACTGGCGTAAGGGCCACCGCAGCGCCCCCAGAGAGCATATGAGGAGGGAGTCGAAATAAGGTCGTGTGACGTGAAAATGACGCCGGAACGTCTATCGTTGGCGACTGAGTGTCACTCCGGTCTCACTTTCTGGACCCATCGAGCAACGCTTCGCTCTCTTCTCTAATACTCGGTGAGAGGTTCGTCCTCCTTTCGGGTAAACAGCCGAGATCGGAAAGCTGTCGAGGACTGTCTGCTGTCGCTGCGCGCGCGCGGCTAAGTGCGCTTGATGCAGACTGAGCATCTGCTCACGCGGTCGCGCAGGTTGCCCGCCTTGAGGGTCTGTGAGTTGGGGCGCGAGAACTCCTGGCCGGGCTCGATGGTGGCGAGCCAGAAGCTGAGCTTGTTGGCGAAGTAGTGGCAGGTGCCTCGTCCGCCGTTGCACTCGATGAAGGGTGTCGCGCGGAAGTCCTCGAGGCACGAGCCGGGGCTGGCCAGCGACTGGCCGCCGCCCTCCGCGCCCGCGCCGGTGTGCTGCAATCCGGCAAATCGGGAAGGGTCAGGAAACACGTTTCCAGACGTTAGTAAAATGTCGCACCCTGCCGCTTTCCTGCGATACTCACCATGACGAAGCTGTAGCCGTTCCAGAGGTCGTACCATCCGGCCGGGCAGTCCGGCACCTTGAGGGACTGGCTGTGCACGGCGATCACGTTAGCGGGTGCCTCGCACACAGTGCACCGAGAAATGTATTTGGAGATCTGGCGGTCCTCGACGGGCATCATGGGGATGGCCTCCGTCGTCGACAACCAGTATGACTTGTCGTTGCGGCTCGCGTAGTTGCAAACGTTGTTGAAATCGCAGAACAAGAAGGGCATCGTGTTGAACTTGCGCACGCAAGATCCGGCGAAACCTGCGAAAGGGAGGTGTCAGAGAGAGAGAGAGAGCGAGGCAGAGGTACAGTCTTAATTCCTTTGATTCGACGCTGGTTACCTAGATCCTGGTTGTGTGACTTCTCGTTTCCTTCGATGTAGAGCAGAGAATAGCCGTCCCAGAGCTTGATGTGGCCCGGCTCGCACTGAGGCACGTACTGGCTCTGGCTGTGTTTGACGAGCAGGATGCCAGTGAGGTAGTCGCCCTGCGCGCTGCAGGAGGCGCCCGGGATGCCCCTGGCACCGGGCTCGCCGGCGAGACCCGGCTGTCCCGGGGGACCGTCGAGGCCGGCGTCGCCCTTGTCTCCCGTCAGACCCGGCAGACCCGGAGGGCCGTCCAGCCCTGGGCTTCCGCGCTCACCCTTGACTCCCTGCAGGCCAGGCATGCCGCTCAGGCCGTTCTCGCCGCGCGCTCCGGGGCGCCCGGGGAGGCCGGCCACACCGCGGTCACCCTTTGGTCCAGGGGGCGGCAGTGGCGGCGACTCTCCCTTCTCACCCTTGGCGCCGTCTCTGCCAGGGGCACCCGGCAGGCCGGCTGGGCCGGGGAGGCCGGGTTCGCCGGGCGGGCCGACTGGGCCGGGAGCGCCGGGGAAGCCATCCAGGCCTCTGTCACCTACAACGGAGAAGTCAGCATCACACAGGCGGACGGGAGCGGGCTGCAACTGCAAGGGACGCGGTGCCTACCCTTCAGGCCGGGACTGCCGCTGTAGCCGGGACTGCCGGGCCTGCCAGCGTCACCCTTCTCGCCTGGGGCGCCGTAGAGGCCGGGCGGGCCGACGTCGCCCTTGAGGCCGGGGACACCGGGGAAGCCTTCCCTGCCGGGCAGACCGCGCTCGCCAACCTCCCCAGGGGCACCGTTCAGTCCGGGGAGTCCAGCGTTGCCCTTGTCGCCCTTCTGTCCCGGGAGGCCAGAAAGACCGTCTTGTCCAGAGCGCCCGGGCAGTCCAGGGAGACCTCGGTCACCTGGAGAACGCACACAAGTCCAAAATCACTGCACGCTTGCACCAGAGTGTTGTTCTAATATCGCAAAAGCATGAGGGTGCACTGTACCCTTTTCTCCTGGGTATCCGTTCAGTCCAGCCGCTCCGAATTTGCCGGGGAGTCCAGACAATCCCTTTTCTCCCTTCACAGTGAGGCCAGGGAAACCAGGCGGCCCAGTCAGACCAGGCTCTCCTGCGAACACACGCCCAGAATATACACGAGTGAGTAGAGCAGGTTGGTGGAAAGTGCAGCACGAGTTACTGGCTTGACTCGGTGCAAGAGTTTACCTTTAGCGCCAGGGTAGCCAGGTGCTCCTGGAAGACCAGGGCCACCAGGCAGGCCAACGTCACCCTTTTCGCCAGCAGGTCCAGGAAGCCCGTCCAGGCCTTGGACGCCCTTGTCGCCGGTCAGTCCAGGCAGTCCGGGTCGGCCAGGCTCTCCCTTGTCTCCCTTGACGTCCACGATGGGGCCGGGGGGACCGCGGTCGCCTTTGTCTCCTCGTTCGCCGGGGAAGCCGAGTGGGCCGGCGGGACCTTCGCAAAAGGAAGGTTGTCGAGGAAAACATAAAATACGAGCTCGACTAGGGAATGCGACCTTGCAAATTTTATCCGACACTCACCGGGTGGGCCCATCTCCCCTTTAGTGCCGTTGAGTCCAGGATATCCAGGCCTTCCCTCGTCTCCCTTGAGGCCTGTGTACCCAGGAGGACCCTGCGGTCCTGTCAGCCCCTCCGCGCCAGGCATGCCGTCCGCACCGGGCATGCCGGGCGCTCCCTGGAGTCCTGCTAGACCGGGGTCTCCCTTGAGTCCAGGGAAGCCCATGTCGCCACGGTCTCCCTTGTCGCCAGGCCTGCCGTCCAGACCGGGTCTGCCGGTCAGACCGATGTCTCCCTTCCGCCCGGGCAGGCCGATGCCGGGTCTGCCAGGCTCGCCCTTGAGTCCGGTGAGGCCGTCGTAGCCCTTGGGGCCGGGGGGACCGCGCAGGCCAGGCAGGCCAGCCTCTCCCTTCTGACCCTTAGCCGACACGGGGCCGGGCTCTCCCTTGCGTCCCTGGAAACAGCGCCGTGCTGGTTAGACAAACCCTCCTGCAGCCGATACTATCTCGTGGCATTGAATCTAATTATCAATTATTGAAACGTGATGTAATTTTATTTTTTGTCTTACTGGTAAGCCTTCAGGTCCAGGCTCTCCCTTCGCTCCAGGGATGCCGGGCAACCCTGAGAGTCCCTGAGGTCCAGGGAGGCCGATGTCTCCCTTTGGTCCATAGGGGCCGGGTAATCCAGTAAGTCCTTGCACTCCCATGGGGCCAGGCAGTCCTCGGTATCCTTCAGGACCGGGCTCGCCCTTCACGCCAGGCTGTCCATCCATGCCAGGTGTACCAGGCGCACCTGAATGCAAAACGTAGAGATGTACACAATTGTGTAACTTTAACACGCTGTACCACGTGACCATCCGCATGATCACGTTGTACCGCAAAATGAGACGCCCTCTGGGACGAGTTAAACTGATAGAACTAATTTTGAAATTACCAGGGGCTCCTCTTTGTCCTGTGAATCCTTTAGGTCCATCAAAGCCAGCTGGTCCGGGCTCTCCTTTAGGGCCAGGGAAGCCAACCTGTCCTGCGCGGCCGGGTAGGCCAACCTGTCCAGGCTCACCCTTAGTACCATCCGCCCCAGGTCGACCTGGAAGGCCAGGTGGACCATCAGGTCCAAATGGACCTGGATCTCCCTTCTGTCCCTGGGGACCGGGCAACCCGTTAAGGCCAGGCATTCCCAAGTCTCCTTTCTCGCCTGCGAAGCCAGGCAGACCTGTAAGTTAACAGAGAGACAAATGTTTAGTCACGGGGGAAAGAAAATTATTTTACAACTTCACTAATACTGTTTTAGAATATTTTACACGCTTACCTGGAGCTCCATCCTTTCCAAACCTGCCAGAGAGACCAGGCAGTCCCTTCTCGCCCTTGAGTCCTGGGTAGCCTGGAGGTCCAGGTGGCCCAACAGCTGGTATGCCCGCCTCTCCCTTAGTACCTTTACAAAAAGAGAGGGAGAAACTTAGTACATACCACGAGAGTTATAAAACAAAGCACGACCAATTTCCATGCAGTGTCGCACACCCAGAAAACCACATTTAGAACCAAGGAAAAAGTAAGCAAATTGATTCAATTTTTCAAGGACAGGTTTTATGGATTCGAGTGATTTGGCTTGGTTTCAGATTTCCATTTCCTGGGTGCGCAATGCGGCATATGCTCACCTTTGTATCCTGGTAGCCCCGGCACGCCGGGCAGGCCGTCTTGTCCCTTCTCACCAGGGAAGCCCATGGGACCTAAATCGCCCTTCTCTCCACGTGGACCCGGGAGTCCTCTGGGTCCGACGGGGCCGGGCTCTCCGATGGGACCAGGGGCGCCCGTTAATCCAGAGATACCCTGGATGCCCTTGGCGCCAGGATATCCGGGTTCTCCAGTGGGTCCCTGAGGTCCCCTCTGGCCCTCAGCTCCCCTCTCACCCTTGATGCCTTCGCGTATCTCTGCCGGTGTGGGGCACTGCCCGGGGAGACCCTTCTCACCCATCAGACCTTTGGGACCCGCGTCACCCTTGTACCCGTCGCGACCGGGCAGGCCAGCTTCGCCCTTGATACTTAAGCCCTTCTCTCCCTTGGCACCCGGATAGCCTGGGCGGCCAGGACTCCCGTCGAGGCCGCGCACTCCAGGGAAGCCCTTGTCGCCCTTGAGACCGGGGAAGCCCATGGGGCCGGGCGAGCCCTTTTCTCCGACGGGGCCTGGCGGTCCGAACGGACCCTCTCGTCCTGGCTCTCCACGCAGACCAGGGGGGCCGGGCAGTCCCTTGACCAGGTTCAGAGGCACGATGGCGTCGCGTCCAGCTGGGCCCTCGGGCCCGGGTACTCCAGGAATGCCGTCAATACCCTGTAGGGATGGAACACGTTTAGATCAGCTGGTGGCGCGCCGCCTGTGGATGGCAGGGTAGGCAACCCAATCGTCACGCCTGTTGGGCACCGTGCCAGCGCTCGGGCGCCTTTCCTACCGGTTTGCCAGCAGGGCCGGGGATGCCGGGGAGGCCGTCTGGTCCAGTGTCTCCAGGGGTGCCGCGCTCTCCAGCTGGTCCCATGATGCCGGGTTCCCCGTCTCGGCCGTCTCGCCCGCGGTCTCCCTTTTCTCCAGGACCTCCAGGTCGGCAGTCAGTGCAGCGTCCTCCGATATCTCCCTTGGGGCCCTGTCCGCCTGCGCGCGCGCGGAAGAGAATGTGGTTACGAAAAACGACTTTGGTTTTTAGAAGGAAGTCTATTCGATCTTAAAGAAGCAATGAACACTTACCCGGGGTGCCGGGGATTCCAGGTCGGCCGTCAGCACCCTTTTCTCCAGGGTACCCTGGTAGTCCAGGGGCACCGGGTATGCCTTCCATTGAGTCTCCAGGGAAACCTCGAAGTCCAGGGAAACCTCTTTCTCCCTTGTTTCCTTTCTCACCGTCGCGACCCGGCAGACCGTCCATGCCTTTGGGACCGGGGATGGAATGGCCCTTTTCTCCATTGAGACCCCTCAGACCCGGAGGTCCTTGCGGCCCGGGATACCCTCGAGGTCCCACCTCTCCAGGGAAACCAGGGAGGCCAGAGTCACCCTTGCTGCCTTTCTCGCCGGGCGCTCCTTCCGGTCCGGGAGATCCGGGAACTCCGGGGCCACCAGGATTGCCCTGCGGACCTCGTAGACCCTGCGGACCGTCGAAGCCATCCAAACCCTTGGGTCCCGGCGCGCCGGGGTACCCACGGGGTCCTTGCGGGCCTGGGGGGCCTGGGCTGCCCTTACCACCTCCAGGGGGGCCAGGAGGTCCTCGAAGTCCAGTGAGACCGGCCGGGCCGTCGTGGCCAGGCTCGCCCTTCAAGCCGGGACGGCCGGGGAGGCCGCTGATTCCATCGACGCCGCGGTCACCCTTTTGTCCCTCCGGTCCAGCAGGTCCAGGGAATCCGGAGCGACCCTAATGTATGACACAATTTCATGAAAAATTCGTGCGAGTTTAGGGGGGAATCGATAGAAGCGCTCTACTGACCGGTAGGCCGGGCTGGCCCGGAAGACCTTTCTCGCCGTGTTTGCCTATCTCACCGGGACCTCCGGGGGCGCCGCTGATGCCCGGCTCTCCCTTAGCACCGTCCACTCCCCTCTCACCCTGTAGTTGGAAAAACGTTAAATTAGCAATATTAAAGGTAGGGTTGGGGAGTCTGCACGGAGCTCGCGGAGCTACTCACCCGGTCACCCTTTTCTCCCTTGTCGCCTACGGGGCCGACCACCGAGCCTGGTGGCATGTGAATGTAGCTGGAGTCACCCGGGGGGCCAGGAGGTCCTTTCTCTCCCTTGTCTCCCGCAGGTCCTTCGAAGCCCAAACCCATTTGTCCTTTGTCGCCTTTGATGCCGACGGGACCAAGTGGCCCCTTGAAAAAAAAGTATAAACATTATTCTTAAGCGGAAGCGCCAATCGTTGATCCGGATTCAGTTGAATATGTTAAATATTCTTACCTCTGGTCCTCTTTCACCCTTGGCTCCCTGAGGACCTTGAGGTCCCTGGAATCCTGGAGTGCCCGGAAGACCTCTCACGCCGTCCCTTCCAGGTTCACCCTTCTGTCCCTTAGGGAACAACCCAGCGTACGCTGCCTCTCCCTTGTCACCCTTAACGCCGCTCGGGCCCGGGAAACCTCTAGGTCCTTGCTCTCCCTGGAGACCTGTAAGTCCAGGTGCACCCTGCAACGCATAGGAAAAGACACTTGAGTGCGAAGCCCTTTGATACTAGTTAGAGTGATCCAAAATCGTTCTTACGTCCGTTCCATTGCAGCCGTCCATACCGGGGCGACCTGGCAAGCCAGGCGGTCCCATCGTACCGGGAACTCCGCTGATACCGGGGAAGCCGGGCATACCGGCACGGCCCTAAAACGGAGAAAGTCTTGCGTCAATGAAAACACTGAAAACTATTCAGAGGTTTGATTATTTAAAAGAAAAATCTTACTCACCCTGTCTCCCTTGGGTCCTCGCGGGCCCGCGGGCCCAGACTCGCCCTTGTCACCCTTGGAGCCCGGCAGACCCTCCTGGCCGGTGAAACCTTGCTGACCCTTGGGACCCGGCAGGCCGGTCATGCCAGGGGGGCCCTGCAAACAAACAGGAGCTGCTCGTCAGGAGTGGTCGTTGACCACGCTGCGCCACCGCCCAGCACAGACAGCCAGAACACTTACCCTGCTGCCCTTCTCGGCGAAGCACTTGGGCGCGCATGCCGCTCCGGTGCCGTTTCTGCGGGCGGCCTCGACGCCGCTGGCCGCCACCAGGTCGTAGCTGCCGCTCCGGAGGCCGCCGTCGCCCCTTTCGCCTCCAGAGCTGCCGCCGTAAGCGCCGGCGGAGCTGCTGCCGTAAGCGCCACCGCCGCCGGAGCTGCCGCCGTAAGCGCCACCGCCGCCGGAGCTGCCGCCGTAAGCGCCGCCGCCGCCGGAGCTGCTGCCATAAGCGCCGCCGCCGCCGCCGCCGCCGGAGCTGCTGCCGTATCCGTAGGAGGCCTCGCCGGCGGAGCTTCTGTCGTAAGCGTCGCCGCGAGCAGCGCCGCGAGCGCCACCGCCGCCGGAGCTGCCACCGGAGCTGCCACCGGAGCTGCCGCCGCCGCTCGCCGCTAACGCCGCGTAGTACCTGGCCGCCTCCTCCTCCTGGCGCCGCCGCTGCTCCTCGTACTCCTCATACCGCCGCGTGTCCTCATACCCCTCCGGCACTCTCCGGTTGTACAGGCCTACCCCCTGGCTCTGCCCTGCAGACGTGTCGTTTGGCTGAG